CCCTTTTTTCAGACCCGGTTAGCTATCTGAGTCCCCCTCCGTGGTCCAAAGGAAAGCAGTACTAACGACAAAACAAATGTCCTCAAAAGCTACTAGTAGCTCACAGAATTGGCCTAGTGACTTCTAAGGTGACTACATTCCAGTTCTATCCGGTCCAGTAACAAATGCAGAACTACATCAGCAGCGGACAGTGACCAGGGACGTATGTACCTTACTGTGGCTTTGGGGAAATGACTCAACAGTTCTGTGTCTAATTTCAGCATCAGCACAATGACTACAGGCGGTGGGTTCACTTGGAATCTTTAGCCTCTGCCCAGTCCTGACTGTGTAACATGACAGTCTTTACCTGTTTTTTCTGCTACTTGAACCTCAAATTTCCCATGGAAAAAAAAAATCTTACTGGCCATGATCCCTGTCTTAGGGTTTCTACTGCTGTGAAGAGACACCATGGCTGTGGCAACTCTTTTAAAGCAAAATATTTGGCGAGGCTGGCTTACAGTTTCAGAGGGTTAGTCCATTATCATCATGGTCGGACATGGGGCATGCAGGCAGGCATGGTGCTGGAGAAGGAGCTGAGAGTTCTACATCTTGATCCATAGGTAACAGGAAGTGAATTGTGTACCATACCAAGCACAGCTTGAGCACAGGAGACCTCAAAGTCCACCCCCAGTGACACACTTCCTCCAACAAGCCACACCTTTGGGGGCTATTTTTGTTCAAACCACTGTAGTCCCCATCTTAGTTGTTTCATGTCACTTCTCACTGGGACTCTGAAAATGGACACATGCCTCCAAATTCTCTAACTTCTTGGAGCATTTTATTTCTCACCTCAATTTTATTTTCTTGGGAAGCCTTTTATGGCCTTCTCAGGCAAGAGTAACTGCCCCTGCTTCAAGCACCTTATACTCCCCTAAACCCTTTCTTTACAGCACTAAAAATGTGTAGCTATGTAGTTACAGAATGCTTAATGAATATGTATCTCCTCTTGCAATGCAATTTCCTTGAAGACAGAGTCAAAGTTCGTTTTGGTTACTGTCATAGTCATTCATAACAGAGTTTTTGGGTAAATGAGTCAACTAATATTAGAAAGAAGAGGTCTGGTTTTCAACACAGAGAAATGTGGCTTGCCCCCAAATCAGTTCCTTTGACTCTAAAGTTCCCTGTTATCTTTAGGCATTAAATTTTCAAAATTTTGCAAATCATAGAAGTACTACAATGTAAACTTTAGAATGAAAAGGGTCTGTGAGGATTGGGTCTCATTGAGGAATGGGGATTTAAACCACGTAGTAGGAATTAGAATGGGAAATGAAAGAAGTGAGGGCTCTGGGGTGAAAGAACCATTTAAGCAGTGGTCTAATGATGGGAAAGCACAAAAGGCTAGCATAGATGTAAGAGGGACAAGGAAAGTGACAGCCTGAGGCTGACAGGGAGCCAGGGACAGGTTTTAGATGCCTTTTGTACAAGGGGAGATTTTCTTCCTTAACTAACAGAACAGTAATTTATTGAGAAACTTTAGGTAGGGATGAGGCAATCAGCTTTGTGCCTGCATAAGACAATACTGACTAGAATATGAGTGGTTTGAGATTGGCAAGGTTTAGGGAGTGGTTGGAGATGGGTCAAGACAGAAAAATACATGAGATGATGCTCAGATAGGATCATGGTGACATCTACCAAAACTGAAATATAAGCAGGAAGTTCAAGATAATACTTCAGCTAAGCATAAGTTCTCCATATGAACAATTGTTGATTTTTACGATGATGTTGTTAATGATGATTAAAAAGCAGTTGCTGTAGTTTCAGGAAATGGTAACTTTTATAGATCTTAATATACTATCCTGACACAGTTAAACTACTCTGTGTGAAGGTACTTGTGAATTTGGAACATGGCAGTTTCCCTTCCCCCAAATCTCTCTCCATACATGTGCGCACGCACACCCCCCATACCCCCCCACACACAGAGATTCATCTATCTATTCATCCATCCATTCATCTATCCATCCATCCATCCATCCATTCATCCATCGGGACAGTGTCTCATGAAGCAGAGGCTAGCCTTGAATTTGTTATATAGCTCAGACTGGCCTTGATCCTCTGTTCTTCCTGCCTCTACTTCTCAAGTGCTGAGATTACAGACATGCATACTCTACCATGTCTAGCAGGTGTTTAGAAAGGGTAATTCCAAAGAGCAAAAGGAGGGTAAGTTTAGGATAATGTATGAGGGGAAAAGGAGGTGGTGGTGTGGAGGAGGGGGAGGCTTTCTGTTTCTTGACTACTAATCTCCTTACAGATGAAAATAATTTTAGATTAGATAGTAGGACTAAGGCCAAAAGTGCATGCTAGATAAAAAGCTTCTGAACTATAGTGCTATAGGAGAGTGAATAGAGAAAATTAGCCATGGCTTTCTTTGTAAACTGAATGGTGCAAACTGAATGTAGACAATAAAAAAGATTTTTTTACAAACTGGGTCAGGGTATAGTAAGCAAACAGATTAGGATGTACATTTGGAACTTTGATTTTACAGAAGCTAATTTATGTCTTATTGTTATATCTGTATTTTATTAATATATCTTTGCATTATGTTGTAAGTTATCTTCTTCATTTGCAGCCTATTCATGTAGTTAAGAGTGTCTATTACGATGATTATGTGGCAGTGTTGACGGTGCATCTCACTTGAATTTCACTGAGCTGCTAATGGCAGCAGGCTCATGTGAGGAAGTGGCTAAGCCTTCACTTTGTGATTTGTTCTTTAGACATGCAAGGGCAGCAAAGGCCATGCAGGATAAACTAGCCACATGGTGACAATAAGAAGCACTGTTTGCATTATCCCATTCTTTCTGGAAAAGATCTAGAGCACAAAAGATGTGTGGCAAAGTGTTCAGTGCACTAAAGGGCAGATTCATTTGAGAGTCTTGAGCCCTAAGGCAAAAAATATTTCATTCCAACTGGGCATCTTATAAGAAGATAACTATATAGCTATAACAAAGGTTAAATTTAAGAAAAATCTAGATTGTTTGTCCCATTATTTAAAAGCTACAGCAGTTCTTGCTGTGTCTTACACATATTTTTTAAGCACCATTTAAATATAATCATACAACAATGTATGTATCAAAAAATGACAAAGAATTTTTTTAATTGAAAAGCTCTATGGCTGATTGTTGATTCTCATGGATTCCTTTAAAAGAGAGAGGGAGAGAGAGTGAGTGATCACCATTACAGTGAGACTCGACAAGTTTGATAGAATCCTGTCAGGGTGAACTTTGTGGGCTTCCTTAGGTTTTTGGTGTCTTATCCTATTCCAGACACTTATCTATGTCTTGGAGGAGTGGGGAGGGTGTTGGATGCTTGTTGCTTTGTTTTACTGTGTATTTAGACTTTTATAAAATAAAAAAAAACAAAATAAAAGATTAATATTACAAATGATGTTAAAAATAACTGACATTCAGGGTTAGAGAAATGGGTCAGCCATTAAGGGCACAGGCACCTCTTCTAGAAGCCCTGGGTTCCATTCCAGCACTCATATGACAGCCCACAGCTGTCTACAACTCCAGTTTCAGCTTCCTTAGGCACCAGGTATTCATGTGGTTCATAGATATACATACAGACAAAATCACTCATACACTTACAAAAACATTTTTAAAAGATTGATGTACATTTTACTTGTATTAGAATACTTAAGGTTTACAGTAGAACTTACAGGGGTGCTAAAAATATTTTAGTGATGTTATTTCTTTTATCATTATGCTTATTAAACAGCAATTTAGCAGTATTTATCTTTAACAACTTTCCCCCATCTCCCATGTGTATGTCTGTATGTTTATGTAGGCCAGATCAGCATCTGATGTTTTACACTAACATTGTCTATCTTAATTTTTTGAGGTCGGGTTTCTCACTGACCTAGAGTTGCTGACTTGCTAAACCATGCATAGTTTTTCACATGGGTGCTGGAGATCTGAACTCAGGTCCTCTGTCTTGCACAAAAAACATATTACCCACTGAGTAATTTCCCTCTTATTTCCTTATTTTGAAAAAAAAAATAAGAAAAGAAACCAAAAAAGCCTAAACCTTACCATATATACATAGATAAAACATGCTTTACTGCTTTGAGTATTTTGTGATTTTATATCTGGCTTGGCATAATTTAGTAAGGAATAAAGTACCCCTATTAAATATAATAAAATGAGTCAGAGTTGAATTATTTTAGCATTTGTACCAATTGCTCATTATCATAACCAATTCTCATTCATATTATTCTAAGAATTACCACTTTCTGACATTGGGTATGGATAAGCCATTTTTGTTATTACCTAGAAACACTAGCAATAAAATTCGCTCCCACACTGTTATTGACAAAGGCATGGGTTTGTAAATCAAACTATGTGTTTAGCAAAACATCTCCAGTGTTTATCAGTTACAGAACTATTGAATATCCCTGTAACCACATTCTCTGTATTAACCTTAGATGCACACTGATAAATTAGGAAAAAGGAGAACTTAATCTCAAGGGATTGTAATAAATTTTTAAGTGTTTTATTATATACACAAAGGATATAGAATCAGGCTTGCAATGCAGTAAAAACAAACAAACAAACAAGCAAAATAGTCATCATTGCATTATCATAGCCATTCTGAAGCAAAAAGATTTATTTCCTTCCCGAAGACTGGAAAGAGCCCACAAAATTTAGATTTAACTCTTTGTCATGCTTTTCTTGGTCCTTAGCTTTGTCACAGGCATTGATCTTTCTTATGTCCTACTCAATAATTTTCTTTTTAAAGTCTTGTGTTTCTCAAAGTTTGGTTTTTTTGGTTTTTTAAATGACAAAACATATAATAGAGCAAAACTTATTCCACTGACACGATAGAATCTTCAGCTTTAGAATTCTGTGATTAAAACACAAAATCAGACCCTTGTGGGACTAAAGCTGCTTTAATCAGTCATTCATATTCATAATTTGAAGTATAATTAAAAACCAAACATTATCACATAGATTTGAAGCCCTTACCTCGCCCATCACTGCTATCGGCGTCTCTCCTGTTGCTTGAGCAACACGATGCTCTACCAAGTAGAACATGTACTCATCATAGAGTAGCCGGATCAGGTGAAAGGAGCCAAAGCTAGCAGCACTACGTAAGGTTAAGTCCCGAATAACCATTGAGCTGTTCAAGAGAAAGGGCAGAGATGAGGCCAGAACCAGGAACAAAGGTTATAGTTCAAGCGTCAGTACACTTAAAAGCAGTTACATCAGGAGACTACGTGAAAGCACACACTTTTAGAGTATAAACCTTGCAATAGAACAAATTCATCTTTGAAAGCATTTGGCCCAACTCATTTCAGTGGTGGGAAGAGGTCATTCTCACTAAGGCTTGATCCTGATCTTCACTAGAGCCAGGCGGGACTTCATTAGAAAAGACCTTTCATTATTATAGGCATGTCTGCCCTTCCCATTGCATACATTCCCATTGTATCAGAACTGAACAGAAACAACTGTGGAGGCCGGAGTCACATTCCTGGTATAAAGCAAATCAACTCAAAGTGAACACCTGATTGGTGATGAATGGCATTTTGTCATCTCTAAATGACAATGATCCTTAGAGTGTACTTTGTGCCAGATTTCATACAAAAATCGAAGCAAAGTTCCCTGAAGCAGTCAGTCTAAATGGAGGTGAACGTGTGGGATTCCAGCATGTTTTTTTTGGAAGGTAAATTTATTGATTCCAGTTTCTTCGTGATTTTCATTTAAATAAAGGTGATTCCACCCACTAGAGATGGGAATTATAGACGAATTAAGAAGTGATTAAACTTAAAAAGGATGAATATTTAATGTATATATTATACAAATATGAACCATATTGACAGAGCACTAACAGTAAACTCTGCTTTATTAAAAGCACAAATAAGTACAAATAAAACTGTGGCTTTACCAAAGATGCATCAACTAAAAGGCTTCTTTTGTACTTCAAATGTAGTTGTGAATCTGTGACTCAGTGAGAATTATGTATGTATTTATATAAGAGTGTTTTATACCAGTTCTTACTCAGTTGCCTTTTTCTAGAGCGTTTTGGCTTATAAATACTAAAACTGTCACTATATTCTCAGGAGGAAGAGGCAAAATATCACAAATGAAAGCCTAATTTTTGTAATGACCAATTATAGAATTCCAGGCAAATAAAAGAATAAGAAGTTGGCTTTATTTTTGTTTTCGGTTTCATTTTTCCACCTTTTAGGAAGAGATTGAAATACATTAGGTTCCATACATTCACTTTGGCAAGTAACAGAACATAAGCTGACAGCTGAAGGCAGGAGCTCTGGGTTCTGATGCTGGCTCTTTGCTACTTGACTCTTAACCATAAATAAGCGATTTCCCTGAGGTTCTTTTCTCTAGGGAAAGTGAAAGCAGTATTTTTAGTCTCAGCTAATTTACACAGTTATTTCAAGGGAAAAATAAACTAAAGAATATAAAACCACTTATGAATACATAGAATGAAATAAATAAAATTTATGATTATATCACAACAGAAAACGCTATTTCTAATTTGTTTATAGAAGAATGAAGATCATTATATGGACCGAAGACTTCTTACTTTTTTAAATCATTGTACAAACATTAGAAAAGGTAAAGCTTGGCTGTCTAGCTAGACCCATTTATATTATGCCTTAAAACAAGCATACAAAAACAAAAGCCAAAAACAAACAAACAAACAACAAACCAGGGCTGGCCCAAGTCTTATTATGTAGCTTGGATTGAAATCTGCACCAATCTTCCTGTGTGTGGTGCTACAGGTAGACTTGGTAATCTTGCCTACAACTACAGAATCATTTTTAAGGCTTAAAAGTTAGTCTGAGAGTCAAATGAAGCAACACACAGTAGTTCCCTATATCTATGGTTTTGATTTTCTTGGTTTCAGCCACTACTAATGTGAAATAAAAATTCCAGAAGTAACAAGTTTCAGACCACATATCCTTCTGCATAGAGTGATGAAAATCTGTTCTCTGGCTCCTGCTACCTGGGATGCAGTTCACTTTCTTGTCCAGCAAGCGATATAAAGGCCCCAGAGTGCAAGAATGCTGATGTTGGAGTGTCAGCATACCACATTCTGGAAAACAGCTCCTTCAGTAAGAAGGTGGAGGTTGTTGACTTTAGAGAAAAAAATAATGAATTCTGAGATGAGACTGATGGAAAGAATGTATCTTCTATTGGTGCAGCTGAGACAAAGGGAAATAAAGCCATTCTAGGTTTGATGCCATACTTCAAACTGCAAAAGCTATAGCCACATCTTGTGGTAAGTGCTGATATCAAGATGTACAAGGTGTTATCCCTTAGGTTGAGTAATATGGGTGTTTTAAGACATTTACTGAGATGTTGAAAAATAGCCCTCATGGATATGGTGGAGAAGTGTACTCTAGTATAAATGAGCACTCATGACATGAGAATAGCCATGTCAAGGATGCTAATATCTTGGGCTCAGGGGAATAACAAGGTCGTCCTTATCTCTGACTCAGGGGAAACAGCAAGACCTTCCTGGGTCAGCCCCAGGGAAATGGCAAGGCATTCCTGTAGTCAACGTACAGACATTGGCCTTTAGCTAAAAACATCTGCAAAGAATATTAAGCACAGATGCCACATCCCAGATAAACTTCATATTCAGGTCACCTGAGGCTGCTCCCCTACAGAGATCTCTTCCTCCTTCATGAGATATAATACATACATACATATACATATACATACACACACACACACACACACACACACACACACACACACACACACACATATGTGGAGTATCTGGAATACAGCTGTGTCTGCATCTGAGTCTACAGTCTACCCAATCACAGCTTTCAATTACTGTGTCTGCCTCTCTTATTCTCCCATCACTACCAGTAAGGTTTCCAGCATCCAGCTAGGCAGGTCCGGATGTCTAACATATGTGGGATCTTAAAAAACTTGGCCATTGCCACAGTACTGCATATATTAGTTAAAGATACATTGATTATAATAAACAGTTCCAGGTAATGGTTTCTTTTTGTCAATGAACTACTCCAAATGTGCCTTAAATGTTTATAACTCTAATGCATAAGTGAATTATTACAAATGGAAGAATAGCTTCATTTATGTGCCTAGGCACTAAAATTCAGTGATATATCTTCATCCACTTGTAAAATAATGTACAAGAATGTAACACAGTAATTTTTAATAAGTAAATATTTCTTTTTCCATAGGAAAAATTTAAAGCAGAGAGTTCCCTACACACACACACACACACACACACACACACACACACCAAACAAACAAAGTAACATAATGATTAAATGTCAAATAACAAATCTTTAAACTTATCCAAGGGTGGAGTGGGCACTTAAACTCCTTTCATCTTGCTGAACAAAGTCAGTAGATATTTAAAATACAGTCTAGGAATGACAAATAGTTAACAAAGATACAAATATAAAACTAATCTTACTCAAAAGTAAGCACATTCAACTAAAGAGAACACCTGTTACCTGTTGCACTAAGAGGCTGTATTATAGTCTGGAGAGGGGCCGAGAAAGAAACTCCACTGTCTCTACTAATATTCCTGAGGCTTCCGTGGAAGGAACAGGCACTACTTATCCAAATGTCAGCTTACTGAATAGTATAATTCTAATTCTAGAAATTTAGACAAAGAGCAAAGTTAGTTTTAATTATAGCAACCTCTTCCCCACCACATAGAGCAGGGATGATTGAATGACCTTCCCTGTAGTTACCAGGAATGCTCTCTTGTCTTATTCACAAAGCACAGAAGACAAAGAGTCTACATATATTTTTCAGTTCTGGGTTTCCCAAAATCAACACCGGCCATTCAAAGCTAGTTTAAGTACGTAGACAGCTCTAGATGGAGCAGAGTCTGTCTGTAGCAATGTATCCACTGCTGTGAGACTTCCAGTTTGTTTCTATGTGTCTGTGTAGGTAAATGCAAACACGATTTTAGAAATTACTAGATTAAATATCTGATTTTTAAACATGAAGGGATTATATATGTGGCTGTCAAATTTACAATGCTAAAAATATAAGAACTCTTCAATTCTGCTTTTCTGATCAGTTATTTATGTGTCAGTTTCCATTACTCACTATGTTCTTATGCCTCAGTAAAAGACAGTTTAGCTATTTCTCTGCTTACCAGCAGGAGGTATGCATCTGCTTAAACATCTCTTTCCTCTGTGGCCCTGAACTGTAAGCCTTCAAATCTTTTTGAAATGAAAATAATAACCATAATCGTGCCTAATAATAACAAGCCAATTATACCCAACTCAGGGAGGACAGAGGGCAGGGAAGTGATGATCTACTGGGTTTGTGCATCTGCAGAGAACAAGAAATACAAGCAAGTAATTTTCTTTCTTTTCAGGATTCCTGCAATAGATCTCTGTGGTGGCAAAGGCCCCAGGGGTGTATTTCTAAAACAATATCAACTAAATGCAGGGAAAAAATACCCACAAGTAGAAGGGCAAGCCTGCCACTACCACACAACATGATAGGAAGGGGCCGAACATCTAACTTCACTGCTGTATAAGGTTGGGCACTCTGCCTTTGGTCATGTGAGATTTGGGAAGAATCAGTGTTAAGTGATGTTTCAGCCACTGGTCATGAGCACACATATGACTTATACTATTTTCTGTGAACATTCAGATGAATAAAATATTGACTCTGAAGCTATCAACAAAATATATTTCTGCCTTTAATCCCAGCATTTGGGAAACAGAGTCAGATTGATCTCTGTGAGCTCAAAGTCAACTTGGTCTACTCTATAGTGAGTTCCAGGAAATCCAGGGCAATATAGATAGACCCTAACCCACAAAAGCCAAAAACCAAAAAGAACAACAACAAAAAGAAAATATATTTCCAAATTAGAGTTTTGAATTATATGACAGATGGACTCTTATTTCATAAGATAAGTTAGATAATTTAAATTTTTGACACTGGTGTTTGATCCTGAAGTAAAAATATAAGTGTTTGCTCTTTTATTCAGGGTGATCCTACTGACTGGAGCCTAAATCCTGTATCTCCTGAGAGGTATAATTTGTCCCTGACAGACTCCACGATAGAATTCACCTGACCATTCCATTCCATCCTATGCAAATATGGCATGAGTCCTGATCAATACAGCTCATAAATGCTCTTTTCAAATACTGTAGTAGATTTGGTGCCCACAACTCACTCCAAATTTGCCATTATGTATCACATAATTACTAAGCCCTTTCTCTTTAGGGGTGCTTCTAATGTCTACAAAACCATGGAGTATTTTAGTCAAAAAAAAAAAAAAAGGTTCATTATCAATAAAACATGTTACTACCTACTAGATACTAGCCATGCAACATAGTCATGAGAAGGTGAATGACCTCCAACTATCCTCCTAACTATTAACTACCTCCTAACCACCAAGAATATGAGTCATTGGGTCTCAGAAGTAACCAAGGGTTAGGAAGAACATATAAATGCTGCTCTCTGGTATGTAGCTTTCTGATATACTCTGCTCTTTGATAACTGACAGAATTAAGAAATGAACTAGGTAGTTCTGAGGGTAAACTGGAATTACCCAGGAGATTTCAAAGCTCAGATTGCTAGGCCCTTCCTCTATGGATTATGACTTGAGTAGATTTGGAAAGTGGCCGAATGATGCACATTTATAATGTGTCTAAGTGGATGTGAGGTCATGGTCTAGTGACTACAGTTTGAGGGCCATTGACAAGGAACAAAGGAATAGTAGTCATAACCCCACAAGACCGCAACCTCAGTAAGGTAGAGAGAGGGGGGACTAGACATCTTTTCTGACTGTTGTGGAGAACATCATCTAGAGTAGTGGTTCTCAGCCTTCTCATGTTGTGGTGACCCCCATCTATAAAACTGTTTTTACTGCTACTTCATAATTGTGCAATTGTGCTATAATCATGAATCATACTGTAAATATATGTGATTTTCTGAGGGTAATCCCTGTGAAAGAGTTGAGAACTCCTATTTTAGATGGACTCTCAGAGACTACTGTCTGAGAACTTGGCTTTGAGCAAGAGGGTCTCCTTTCCTAGCAAGAAAAGTTCATTTTCATAAACTTCCTGCTTAGTCTCTATGCATCATAGTCACAGAGTTGGCTATTCCACCAAGTGTAGAGCTCACTTCCTTTTTATGTGAAGAGTGGAGACACACACACACACACACACACACACACACACACACACACACACACACACACACAGGACACGAAGCAATTTAGCAAACTTGGGATGTCACCTGTAGAAAGACCACTTGAGTAGGAACTGCCGGGCGGCCTTGGGGAAGCTGGGTCTCCCTTCATAGGGTTTCAGGGCTTGCATCATCACATTATCCAGCCACGCTGCCCACTGCTCCAGTGTGCTCTGCTGCTGAAGCGTCATCTTGAAGTCTGTTTCTAGTCTCTGAACCATGTTGTCATCACACTGGCACACCCAGGAAGCCTGCTCCTGGGACAGGTCACAGAGAGAAAGGAAAGTTCAACTCAGCGGCCTCTCTGAGTATCGGCACAGAGCATTGCAGGGTGTCACACTGAAGGTTTCAGTGGGAGAAACGAGTGAACCATGAACATGATCAACGGTTAAGCACACAATGCCTTTGTCATCTTCGGGGCTTAGCCTTTGTCCTTGATCATTACATGAAACAGTGTTTAACTGTGACTTGGTGTTCTTTAGCTAGGCCTCGGAAGAGATTAGCACGGTACTTAAGGAAGACAGATGTCTGAACCAGCAGCAGCCACTGTCCTGGTTCATACTGCTTTAAAGTTTCCCCAATCCCACCACATAAAGATTTAAAACCATTTTAGAAGATGTAGAATAAGTCAGAGGAATAAATGGATTCAATTGGCCAAAAGTGGTCCCTAAAGATTAAAACAAACAAACCCTGAATGGTACTAGGTGGAAGCATATGCTGTGTGAGTTTACAGATTGGAACAGAAATCTCAAGGGCTATCAAGGCAAACCAACAAATGCAAATTAATTCACGGAATTGAAAACAAAAACAACAACAAAACCTCTTTTGAGAAAATGTAGACTTGCTACCTGCCAAGAAACGTGATTACTGTAATTTCCCTTCTGCTTCTGGTTGGGAAGCTTCATGTTTTATAACAACAATGAAAATAGGAACTTTTAAAGTTACTTTTCTGTGATTGTGTAAATTTGATGATGTTTCTAGTACGATGCAGTATTTTAAGATTAACAGAAAAAAATACTTATTCTCTTAGGATCAATGGCAGCATATTGCTTGACAATCAAAAGGCTTGCACTTTTGCTCAGGTCCTAATTTGTCAAACTAAGTTCAAACAATTAATTAGATCAGTGTGGGCTCCGTTTTCCTATGCATAATATCTGACAAATGAGACTTATTAAGAGTTTTTAAGTGGGATTCATTATAATAATTTATAAGATGAATTTCTTTGGAGTGTCAGTACAGTTCTAATACAAAAACATAGGATAGATTGATATGTTCATGAAAACACTGTCTGCAGCCTTAATTCTATATAATTTCAGAGGTCAAGTTGATTCATACTGACAATTTCAAATCAATATATCTCTAATCCCATCCTCCCACTTCTTACATCTCTGCTGACCCTACACATTTACCCGTTCAAGGGTCATTTAATCTTAAGAGACATTTCAAAGGCAAATTGCATCCATATGATTCATTCTATTTTTTCTAGGGAAACCTAGTTTCTTCCATATTTCAGCTGGTGATAGCATTGTCTATCTTTGCTCTTAGATGCTACCGTTTAAACACTACTTGTAAATAGTTTAAATAGACTAAATTATGATTATAGAAAAAATATCAGTATAAATAAAAAGATAATAAGAGTATGAGTAAAAGATAGTTACAATACATGGATACACATATCCTTCAAGATTTCACAATATAAACATACCATGTGCTACATTATTTGTGAGTACACATTGCATGCTTACATTTACATTACTCATTTATTCATGCTAATTTATGGTTTGTCATTTATGTTTACACATGTATAATTTAATATAAATATAAAATAAGTATATAAATATAACTATCATATATTCTATTCAATATTCTGCTTAACAATGATATTCATCTACTTTTCCAGGTAGATGAATATGGAGCTATATGTATCACCCACTAATAAATTTGTTTCATTGTATGAATAAGCTATTATCTGTATAACCAATTTCATACAGCTAGACACTTGTTCTAAATTTGTACTAGCATAAAGTTTGAATTAGTTAAGTTGTTAACTACATTTTGCTCATATTTTCACTTATTTCTATCTGAGATTTATGTAAGAACAGTTAAAAATCTTCTAATAGTATCAAATAATTTCCAGAATTTTTTTCTGATATATTCTTTTTTATTTAATTTATTATTTTACATGTCGACCCCAGTTCCCTCTCCCTTCCTCCCTCCCTCTTACCCTTTCTACCCCCTCACATGCACCCTGACCACCCTCCCCTCCCATCCCCCCACCCTAATTCCACATGTAGGGGAATGCCATCCAGGTAGGGTCATGTAGATCTGACAGGTCATTTGAAGTAGGGGCTTCTCTCCTGTCTCTAGGTTAAGGCAGTATCCCTCCATGGGGGATGTGTTCCCAAAGTCCTTTTGTGCACCAGGGATATGTCCTGGTTCCACTGTCTGAGGTCCCTTAGACTGCTCAGTCCTTCTAGCTCAGACCCATATACAGGGGGCCTGAGTCAGTCCCATGCTGGATTCCCAGCTATCAGTCTGGGGGCCCTTTTAGCTATCAGGGAAATGCAATCAAAACAACTTTGAGATACCATCTTACTCCTGCCAGAATGGCTAAAATTAGAAACACCAATGATAACTCATGATGTGGAGAAAGGGGAACACTCCTCCACTGCTGGTGGGAGTGCAAACTCATAGTCATTTTGGAGATCAGTATGGCAGTTCCTCAGGAAAATGGGAATTAGTTTACCACAGGACCGACGGCAATTCCCCCTCTTAGGCATATACCCAAATTTCCAGAAATTTTGTATTAACTTAAGAGTCCATGAGTACCTAGATAAGTGTTACAGTTACCAGGAGATGGTTTTGGTTTGCCCCATACCCTCTACATACCCTCTAACATCTTAGCTTTTATTTATTTATTTTTGACCCTTCTCTGTATACAGTGCAGCATTGTTAAATATATGAACTGTATTATGGGGCATTAGAGCTGCAGAACCTTCTGACCTTCTGTTTTACAAATGGAAGATTTTATGCTCCATATGAAGGAGTTTGTTCTTGTTTGGGCTGCTTCTACAAAGTGGGTCTTACTGATACACACAGAGGAATTTCACATCTTCTCCAAAATTCAAACTCATTGTTTATGTAAAATTGATTTTTTTTGGCAAGGTAAGATGATAATCTAAAACCTAATTTGAGAAGTAAGACCACAATTCCATAAAACCTCTTCACACCCTTTTGTAATAAATGTCATTTTACTACAGCCTAAAGAGTTCACACTATTAGATTACTGCATAAATAGTCGTATTGCCAAGAATTGAGTGTTCGCAATTTCATAATGAAAAAAAAGCTAAGAACAAACATCTGATCTTAACTTATATAAAAATAATATCCAACATGGTATATAATACGGAAGTTCAAAATCAGATTGTATCTTCAGTAAATAAACCCAAGTAGCCAGGTGTGGTGGCATGCACCTTTAATCCCAGTACTCAGGAGGCAGAAACAGGTGGATCTTTAAGTTTGAGGCCAACCTGTTCTACAAAGTGAGTTCCAGGATAGTTAGAACAATGCAGAAAAGCCCTATCTCAAAACAAACAAACAAACAAAAACCAAAAACCAAACCAAGAAACACAAAACAAACAAAAAACAAACTCAAGTATTCAATGACCACGTTATCAAGTAAAAACCATCCAAATCTATGTAATTAACAATGTACATAAAATCTTACCCATTTATATAGAAAATTGAGAAACAATACCATTGTAAGACTCTAAGTGAGAAAGCCAATGAAACTGCAATTGAAAAAAAAAATGTCTTGAATACAAAAATATTTGTTGAGAAGAGCACAAAATAGTGAAAAAAAGACTTATGCATAGCATATGCTGACATTAATGTCTAAGGTCTTAGCATGCCCTAATAATAACTCCTGGAACTTGTTTCAACCCAAAATTTCTTTATTGTAAGAGTTTTATCCTTTTATTTGTCAGTGTTTCTGAGATTCATCTTGGAAGAGGCAGGGACAAGTTCCAAGTGACAGGAAAAGGTCTCAAAGAAGGAATGGGAAGCAGGCTGTACTAGAGAAACCTGTCAAAGCCCAGAAGGGATAAATATGCAAGAAAGATAGAAAGGAAGTAAGCTCGTTGGGCGGACTCATCAGAATGTAGAGGACGTAGTGTGGGACACACTGAATGGCTCACCACTCCATTTATGAACCTCAGGAGATTAAAAAATGTTTTGGAGGACAGATGCTAAATTATACAGGTTCTAGAAATAATGACTTGTATGATGGACACAGAAAAACTTGACAGTTGATGACAAAGGAAGACAGTAGTCTCAAAGTTGCAGTGTGAAGATGAATAGTAGATGTATAGTTGACTACACACAAAGATGTCAAGAGAGATGTTTCTAATGAGCAAATGGGCTCATTTGTATACATATTCAATTCGATACAAAGACAATGAAGCCAGGATTGAGATCACATAGATAAATGTTAAAACAGGAACAGCTAACATTCTTCTCGGATATTAATTGAAATAAATCATTCTTTACAAAATTTTCTGTTACTAAGTTGGGATTAACCACTAGAAATTGAAGTTGTTTTACTATTCTGACTTCAAGATTGCTTTACCTAAACTTTTCTTAAGGTACTTATAAAACATTTTCAAAATGAAGATCTGAAGTAAATAGTAGAGTACAGATTTTTAAGGTGATATGATTGCTTAATAATTTTGGTGAGTTATTGAATCCCTATTAACATATACAGACCATTTTATAAATCTAAAACTGTTTTTCTTATAAAGGTCATTTGATTGCATGTGTGTACATGCAAGTATATCTGTTTGTGCATAGACTGCTGGTAGATAGATGGATGGATACATGGAAAAGAGACTGAAAAATTAGATATCAGAAACATGAGAAATAATTCCTGAAAGTCATAATGAACACAGCTAATTTATTGTACTATAAATGAGCAAAGCACAAATATTATTAGGTATCATGTTTTAAATAGTAAAGCTAGACATTCTGTAGAAATAAAATTTCTTATAAATAGAGTAATGATTTTTAAAAGACACACTGTACAATTTACCTACTTAAAGTATACTTCTCAAAGGGAGTTCTGTACCCATTGTATTTGTTATCACTCATTCTCTGCAATATCACAGCCCTACCCAGTCAGAAATCTAGTCTGTTTCTAATGTTTACCCAGATCATCTCATGAATAGAAACGTAACAATTTCCCTTCATTTAACATGCTTCCAAGACTCAATCAAGTCTTCATAATTTCCTCCCACTACTCAGCAACAGTCCACTGTATAAATAAAGTACATTTTTCAGGTAAGGAATCTTGGGTTGCCTAATTTGAACAATAATGCTACGAATATTGAAGCACAGATTGAGAGCCTCTGAAAATCCTAAATTTGAAATACATATGATGGAAGATGTCATTTTGTAAATATGTTTCTCTTATTGGTTAAGGTATAAAGCACAGTTGGCCAATAGAAAAGCAAGATAGGTAGGACTAGGAGACAAGGAGGATGCAGGAAGTAGTAGGGAGGAGATTCAATATGTAGGACCAATAGGACCAAGAGAACAGAGGTCCCGATCTTCTCTCTGGTAAGCCAAGAACATGTGAAAATAGTTAGATTAATAGAAATGGGTTAATATTTAAGACATAGCTAGCCAATAAGAAACACTAGTAACAGGCCAGCAGCTTTATATGCAATACAGAGTCTCTGTGTATTATTTGGGGCTGGCGTGGCTGTGGGACCAGGTGGGTGGGAAAACATGCTCGTAACACTGGATGCCCAAAACTTTTGTGTTTTCAAGCATTTCAGAGTATAGACTTTAGGAATAATCATACAGTAAAGTCTACTACCGAAAAAAAAAAAAAATCTTCAAAGCAGGCAAACATTTCAGTCCAAGCATTTTAGACAAGTACTGGTAAACTTGTATGGCTGTGTTTCCCTTTCTTCTGGCTATCTGCCAAGCAGTGGTCTGCTCAGTCTCATGGTGGGTCTATATTTATCTTTTGAGGTGATGCCAGACTATCTCAATGGTTTTGGCACTTTACATTCCCATCAACAGTGCATAAAGCACTAATTTCTCTAGTTCTCCAGGGAACAAAACTGATATTTTCTGTCTTCAATCACATCCATTTTAGTATGCATGCAATGCTATTTCCTTGTGGTTTTAACTCCTGTTCCCTTGGTGGCCAATGCTAAGAATCCTTTCATGTGTTTGCTGGGTACTTATCTATTTGCAATTTTAAAGTCAGGTGGCTTTTTATTAATGGGCTGCAGAGTACTTCAACATACGCTCCATGTATATGGCACTTACAAGACACAAGCTTCTGACTTTTCATGCATTATTTTATTTTATTTTTTATGTAGTCTGTTGTTAACACGAAAGTTTTAAAATTTGGATTGTGTCAAATTATGCATATTTTACTTTGTGCTATCATTTTTATATAGTAATAACTTTGTCCTTTTATTATCATAAATAAAATATCTGTTAAACTTCCTACATTAGTCATTTCCATGTATAAACTACAGAGTAACTAGAGTTAGAAAAAATAGTTTTGTTTTTTTTTTTAAATTTGAATCAAGGTGTCCAGACTTACTTCAGTTAATTCTTTAAGTGAAAGAATTTTCTCAGGTATCTGCAATATGCTTTACAAGAGAGGTGCTTAGCTCTTCAAGGCGCGTTACTGTAATAAAAGAAGTACCTGCTTGGAAAGGTGCAGATCACTACTTCAATCAACAAGCTAAGGTAGTTGTTACAGCTAGGGAAGTGAAGTGTAAAGCAGGGAAGTAGTGGTTCAAATTCTCACAGGCATAGAATAGCCTAATGTTTTGCCTAACTTCAGTGACTTTGATATTTCTTTTCCTTTTAACACCTCAGCAAACATGGATGTATTTTGTTGCCTACTAGCTCATAAAGCTTAGCTGAATTTATCCATAAAACAAAGGGGTTCAGTGTAGTCTGATCTGGGTAAAAACCACACCTTTGAGGAGACTGTGAATACAGATTTTGCCACTGCATGCATCAGATGGTCCTAGTTTGGAACAACTGACACCATTCTTTAAAAGACAGTGTTTACCAGGGGACAGCGTACCTGGACATTGGCAAAGTCAACGCGGTTGAGGTCGCTGAGCATCTGGTTGATCTGGGAAGTGTTCTGAAGTACAGCACGGGCTGCCTGGGCCAGGTGATTGAGCGATGTGTATCTTCGCAGAGTCTGGGCAAAGGCACTTACAGCGGCAACCTATAGAAACCCAAGCAAGCTGGGGTAGATCTATGATTGTTATTGAATAAAGAAATTCTTTCAGAGCAGTGCAATTCAGACTCACTGTTAGGACTATTAGTTTACAGGTTGGTAGACTTGATAGTGAAACATGGGAGTTCAAAGTTTTTTTGTGACCAAATACATTTATCAGACCAACAAGTAGAAGAACTCTTTCTTTTTTTAAAGATATAAATTTCTTTAAGTGGGCTATGTGGGAAATTTCCATTTACCCTTCAAAAACCCCTTTCCATGTATCTCCACCATTGTCTGTGGCCACAAAGGCTACAGGGGATAGCAGGGACACCTTCTCTGCTTTCAAAATTCCAGCTGGATGATTTAGTTGGGGTGGGACATTGTTAGGAGATGCAAGCACATGGCAACAACGGACAGAGTGTTCATTCCTCACAAGCTGTGTATGTTCTTCCCTTTTCTAAGGCTACTACTAGGGAAATGTAGAAGGAGGCTTCCTAATGCTATGATGTTCAACCCTTACCTATTTCAGACCTAGATTTGGTGATGAGTTTTCACTATTGCTATCTCCAGGATGCTTAATCATTGGTTGTTCTCAACTCTGCTTCTTCCATGTTTAGAAATTAATTCAGTTAGTTCACATACACTTTCCTTAAACCTCTTGTTTCTTTTCTTTTTCCTCTCAATTCTCTGTGACTTCGTGGTCAAGGGCTCTATACCACTGAGTTCTAGCATACCAGCATGGGAACATTGTGCTTTTTTGATGAGATATGGAATCAATTATCCTATGTTAAAAGATATCAAAAATAATGAAAAGACCCTCTAAATCAATATTTAGTTTTTATAGAAATGTTAGATACACAGCAGATATGACCCAAGTCTTTCAAAATATGACAAAAGCCTTAATGTATTTATGGGAATATATCATATTATATTGAGATTTTATGGGCACATAAGAAGCATATACTTGAAGAAACAGTTGGGTGAGTAAAATAATGTGTTGACACTGCAAGCATGGCTATTTAAAAGTATTAGGACTGTATGAAATATTTGAGTAAGCTCACATACCCTTGCAAAGAAAATGTTGTTTTTCCATTTTTGTGGTTTAAATACATTGAACACATACTATTTAACAGGTATCAGGTTAAATGTCTCATATATCACATTGTTTAACTGTCATCTCAATATGTTATGAATTAGAGAGATCAAGTACCTTGACCAAAGTTGAACAGAAACTCATTTAAGTGGTAAGATTTGAGCAGTGCTATGACTAGAAAGCTCTTCCCCAAGTTGGGTAAGCTGCTTCAGTGACTGAGAGCTCAGTGGAAATACAACTGCAGCAACAGCAGGAGAGCAGAAATCATACTCTGCCATCGTAAACACCCAGACTATTTCTGAAATTCATCAAAATGGCCAATGTTGCAGGCAATCTGCTAAGGTATTCACTTGATGACACTGAGAAGGGGGAGTGATTTCAGCTATTTGAGGTAGGATTAGAACTACAACTGATCTTATGAACTAGAAAGATTCTTCTGTCACAATCAAATAGCATCTTTTATTTCTGTGATTTTCAGACTAGAACCAAGGGCTTTGTTATCACTGAGCTACTTTCCTAGCCTCTGCATCTTACTAAATAATTTGGGCACTCCTTGAGCTCCTTATATTGCCCAGGCTAGACTTGAACTCATGGTCTTCCCGTCTCAGCCTCCAATGTGCAAAGTTTAAACCAATGTAGAAAGAACTGGGAGTACTTGTGGTTCCAAAGAGACTTGTTGGCTACAGGAACTTCAACAGAGCAACACTACATACAAAATAAAGAAAAGATCCACTGTTGGAGTCTAATGGTGGACACAGGCACATATCAAAAGCCATGAGTGTGAATTTTGGCAGCAAAATGAAAGAGTTTCTACCCAAGTTTATGTGGGCATAAACTCACAGATTAACCAAATGTAACATGCCAGAAAGGGATAATGTAGAATCTAGAATCCCCTAGCCATGAGGAATGGCTCTGAGCTACAACATCCATATGCTAGCTCTGTATAATATTGTGTTACTTATATATTTATAAAATTACTTGAAGACAGTTTTTTAAGCAAGCACATGTACGTCCCTTTATCCCCTGTCATACCACCAAAGGACAGAACCATACCTTGGTTTGTATCATTCTCTGTGGAATATTGTTCATGGCATTTGAAAGCCAACCTTCAAGGCTTTTTGCAAAATTTCGAATGGCTTGGGTCAAGGCACCTAAATAATAAAAAATAGAGGCAGAACAATAAAGATACCCAGGATCATTAATTTTTATGCTGGAACAAGGAAAATATATGTTTATACTACTTTTATTTCATAGAGCAGAATTTATATTGTCTTCATCAATTGAAAAGCAACATTACTTCTAATTCCTTAGAGCATCTAAAAGTAGTAGTTTTGGCTTTTAAAACTATTTTGTTCTCAGACACTGACGATACCTGTTGGAAAATGAAAACATTCAAATCTTTCTGTTTATGGCAACATATACCAGTTGTGAATATACTTTATGGGGCTTTTCACCTTGAACAAAACGTCATGAAGAGTTTTGTGATCAAGGGCTAAGAATTTCCATTTGGGTTTCAAACTTAATCTTATTTTACATTGTTAGTTAAAATGAAACACAGTGCAAAACTTTGTTTTTCTCTATTTGATGTTTTACTATACAACCTATGAATTGGAGTATTTATCTTTGCTGAAAAATAATTGTCATAATGAAAATTTCAGATGACTATTCCTTCCAATTTCATATGTAGGAGCTAAAAGTTCAGTTTGATACAATTGCTGTTGCAGAGAGCAATGTTACTAAAGTATTATCAAAAGAGCCGATTCGTTAAATCCTGAAATGGGGAAGTCCTCATGACAGACCTTTAGAGTGGTCATGAAATGACCAGAAGCATCCTCGTCATCATTGCTAACTTTATTACGAGGGAGTTGCTCCCTGAGTCTGTTCAGTGCATCACCCAGTTAGGGTCGTTTAATTCCTTTGCGCCCAGGACTACACACTATGGGGAGTAGATTTAGGTGTTTAACAAACATTTAAAGCAACAATAACACAAAACTACTCTGTGCAGGTTCCATACGATCTGGTAGATACCCAGAACTGTGAAATACTGTGAGAAAGAAGGTTCTGTTTTGGTCAGCTGCCCCGGAGAATGTACAGCGGGACCAAAGTTTTGGCTTTCCCCTCTACTCTCAAGCGGGTCTGAGAGTCTTGTTAATTTTGCCAAAAGAGGTTTCAGAGGGAAATGTAGTGCTTCAAGTTATTTACAAAAAGATGCAAACTTAATACCCCAATAATAAAACAACTGAGTTTTTTAAAAAGCATATTTAACTAGATACTAGAGAAAGAAATTGCCTAAATATTGATTGGGAAAGAATGCAGACTGCTAACCAGACTGGATTGGAAATTTTTTGAGAGGAAATCTTTTGAAATCTCCAAAGCATCCCACCATAGTCAAAGGGGGGGGGGGGAGAAAGAAGAAAAAAATGCATTTTTCTGTTGTTTTATGTACTAGAATCATGGAGTACAGGCATGAATGGAAATGAAAAGTGTGAAAAAAATTAACAGCCTTTTTTTAAACTCAGTAAAATTTGTTCAAGATTCAACTTGGCCACCTATATTTTCCATTTTGTTCTACTATTATAATAATAATAGTTTGATTAAAAAGACCCCAATAACTTCTTATGTTATTTTGAAAACATTTCATGTATGCCCTATTTTATTTAGACAAGCTTGATGGAAAGGAAATTAAAATATAAAAATACATATTGTGTATATTAAAAAGTTTAGGTATTTACATTTAAAAAAATACTAAATGATATTCTGGGCCACCTTTTATAATATTCCCATCTGCCCATTTAAAGTGTTACCAGTTGAAAATCTCATTCAATAATTCACACTTAATTTCCTTTTTTCCATGTTTCGGGTGAATATATTTTAGAATATAGGAGTTTCAAGCTGACTTTAAATTAGTACGATGTGCAGACTTTTTAGCTAAAAAAAGAAATCCCATCTGGACAGAAAATGGTAGAGTGAAGTACTAGTAGCCAAGAAATACATTTAAAAAAAATTAAGTTTGTTCTCTCTGTAGGGATTCACATAAAATTGAAATTGTGCAGACTGACTCTGACAGCTTCTAAAGACGCATAAATGGAAGGTTTGATATTTAAAAATCTATTCCAAAGCTGCGCTCCCTCAGCCTGCTCAAGATCAGCATTAAGAAGCACACACCCAGCAACAGCTTTCTACATTGTATTTTAAGCATTACATTGTTGAGCCTCATTGTAAAATGGAAATTGAATTCCCTAAATTTCTATTGTAGAGTAGTACACTAATGTATCTTGTAACTTCGGAGAACTAAAATGATTCCATTTTCTGGTGAATGTAGAGACAAACTACTTGACAGAATAAACCGTTTTTCTAATCACATTTTTCAAAAGACAAAGAGGACATGTATTATATACTTAAAATTCTAAGGCTTAAAGTAAACCAAAAGTGATGCATGATTTAAATTAGGGAACCGTTAAATTCATATGATGCTAAGACAAAAGCACATGGTTTCAGCATTGTTTAATGAATATTGATGCTGTTGCCTTGAAAAAGCAAGCACTCCCTGACATTCCTCTTGTATCTCGTGAGAGAAATTGTATATTGGTAGCCAGATAGCCTATGCAACTTCCTTTAAACATCTCTAGAGATTAACACTCAGAGCACAAGGAGCAAGAGGGTAGAAAACAATCAAATTCTGGAACAAAAACCAGTGGAAATTGACATGGTGAAATTTTCTGTGTCAGTATCAATTTTTATCAGTCTTTTTAGTGAGGTAACCCTGGTGTAGATAAAATGGAATATATTAGCAAGTTATAAAATGTTAAGATAATGCCAATGGGATTATTTCTTTTGCTTTTACTGTCTCCTCCATGTTAATATACATTGATTGGCATAATATGTAAAAGTGTATAAGCATCTACTATAGGGTAATGAATATATATGAATGTATGTATACCTTCCACTGTGTCTTTATGTTTACAAGCATAAACATACAAATGTTAATACCTTCCTTTTTCCTTCTACTAAACCCTATTTATGTTTTCTGAAATAACATAAAAAATAATAGTGAACAGCATAATTAAAGTACATACTGCTAATGTTACTAGCTTAAAAACTGCTTTAAATGTCAAAGTGGAAACAGTCCCATTTCTTTCAAAGTTAAGGTCATTAGTATGGGTCATCTAGGTATAGGAGTAAAGTAGTTTCAACAGCCCCTAACTGTTATGTATAGTTGCATTTACACCAAGAATTACAGAGAAAGCTTTGCTATAACATGGTTACTGAAAAAGGTAAACTGAGTGATTTACACAGTTCCCATTCACTTCATAATAGGGTACAATGCTTGTGTAGTTATTAGAGTCTTCTCTCAAAATACTAGGAAACTGAATTTTAATTCTGAAGATGATACAGGTGGCAGAGTAATTTTATAAAGGAATCAACTGTACTGGAAACCACAATCAATTCATTCAAAATCCTAAGCAACAATGAAAGAGAATGGTCTGCAATTAGAGATATAAATATTTTTTGGCTATATGCAGAGGACTTTAGCCTTGAATAGAATATTTTTACATGGCTGACTGAACTAACAGTGTTCTTGCAATTAGTTTATTGAGGGTGTCTAGCTGCAGGTTGACTTTTAAAAATAATAATAGTGTTAAAGATTAGGAAGCAGGTCATTGCCCCTTCACTGTAGTGTCACTGTAGGCTCTTTCCATGCAATATTCTATATGCTGCATGTTTTTTACTTGACAAATTTAAATGAAATTAGGATCACTCCTGATTGCAACATCAATCCCCAAAACTTCTTGGGTGGTATGTATGAGAACAAAAGCATCCGTAGTTGTCTCCATTTAACTTACTAGGAATGGGTCTAAGGACGTCGGGGATGAGAATCTCCACCAAAGCCTGGTACATCCCATGGTCACAGTTACACATCCATTTCAGGATAGACTCATGTTTGCACAGAGTTATCAGCTTTGCTTTCGGAAGTCGACTTTCTATTTCACTCAGATTGCTGGTGTGAATAAATGTCGCAAATGAATAGATGGCAAATGAGGATAAAACAGAAAATGGACTTTAAAAATAGTTTATCAAATATTACTGAGGTTAGAACTATACCATTATTGCACTGGTGTCATATGGCTGGATATATATGTATGTGTATATATATATACATATATATATACACAAATACACCCCCAGAGCTACCTATGTACATTAATATTTTCTTATGGTCTGAAAGGCAGATAGGATAGTAATGCTCTAGCATGACATAGATCTACCATAGTCCCCCAAATCAATAAAAGGGAGCTACAGACACTACAACCTCAGGAGAGCAGTCTGTGGTTTATTCCTAGCATGGTCAATCTACTCAATGATATCAGGTAAAGTTCACAACTGGTATACATATCTCTAACTTATTAGCTGTGATATCTACTGCGTCATGAAAATGAATCAGAAAAGCATATTGATTCTGACCTTGATTCAGTAATGGTAGTGCCGTCAGTTGGAGTAGAGGGAGAATAGCGCCAGAATGTTTGCCATAATTTTTCTATCAGGCTAAACTGAAGATTCACAACAACGTCCAATATTGCCTAAAAACAAAATGACCAAACCATAATACTTCCTTTACTTTCCCTTGTTCGTTTATTTTACCACCAGATGTTTCTGTTAAGGCAGCTACAATTCCGACATGGTCTAAATCATCCCATATAGATTTGAACATTTTCAAGACTACTGCATTGTTTGCAGTGATTCACACCAGCCACATGTGTCTACTGAGTCTTAGCAATCTGGTGACTTCAAAACAGCCTCTCAAGATTGTGAGCACTAAAGGCACACTGCACATTCAAGACATACTAAGACACAAAGGACAGACAACAATAAAATGGATTACTATTATATTAATTACATATCAAAATAATAACATATTGCCTTTCAAAGATATAGTAAAACAATGTAAAATCAAATAATAATCTCTTTAATTATTTATATTCTGAAATACTAACACCACTATATTTCAATGCCTGAGTAACAAAATAAATGAAAATAAGTAGTAATGATTTGTCTATATAGTGTGTTCTTGTGGAAATGAAAAGACTAAATTTTAACAACTTCAGAAGGAAAGTGCGAACATTAGCTACTAATATTCATATTGTTTCCATGTTGAAATCACATACTGTATTTCAGACTGGTGGTTTGCATTATTTCCCCCATAGTCTTCGGTGTTTGGATACTTGGTCCTCAATTGGTAGCACTGTTTGGGGATGCTTAGGAGGTGTGGCCATTTTGTAGGACTTAATGTCACTGGAGGTGGGCTTGAGACTTTAAAGTCTTGTGCTGTTTCAAGTTCTCTATTTCTACTCTGTGCTTGTGATAGAAGATATGAGCCATGTGCTTCTTGTATCTACTGCCCGGTCTCCTGCTTACTGTTTTGTCTCCCAGCTATCACAGAATCTTAGCCCTTGGGGACAATAAGTCCAAATAAACCCTTTCTTCTACAGGTGTTGTTGGTTGTGGTGTTTTATCATAGCAAAAGAAAATAAACTAATAGAGACTAATTAGCTAATCAACTGAATTTTATGTTTATTGCTTATATAGTATATCAGAAAGAGGCATAGAACATACAAAAAGTAATTAGTAAAATGTCATATTCTGTTCTTACTCTTTCCATTTTTTTTCGTTATACAAACTGTACTCAAACTTAGAAAAGATAATACCATAACTGATACAGTTTACATATTGCATTTCCATTATTGACATGTAACATTTCAAAGATGGGAAAATAAATGGAAATTGATTACCTGCTTATGTTCTTAATATTGCATTTTTAAATGACAATGTATAATACAAGTAATTATCGAATTAATTAATTTATATTGCTTCCATGTTATATTACATTATTTTTCACATTGTGTGTTAAATAAGATGTTATTAATATCAGAACATTCCCACACTGGCAGTCCCATTTGCCCACCTGATCTAGACACTCCCTCACAGAAACTCACTTTGAGGGTAATTTTAGAGAACTTGATAAGTTGGAACCAACCATGACACCACTCTACCTACTCCTGACCAGAAGGGCAAAGCATTCTAACATCTGTGCTCTTGGGTGGATGACCACTGCCATCCAAGAATGTAGAGGTTAAGAATGGTAAGTTGCTCAAGTGTGGCAGATAGGGGTAAGGTTGATCTAATCTTCCAAGGCTGCTGATCATGGGTCCCAGTTAGACGGAGGTGACATATAAACTGGAATCAAGGGGCCTCCAGATACTAACATACTTCTGGGAATAAAAGGGATATGCATATAGCCATACTTGGCTATATAATGATTTGCATTCCACACTAAGCATACAGTATTACTTATCTATACTCCTTTTATAGATTAGTTTAAGATTACTCTTACCTAATTGTGGAGTCCATCTTGCCTTGAGTTTTAACTTAAATTTAGTTTCTAGAACCATTTTCCAGGTGTCCCCCATAGTCTTTTTCTTTTGGGATGGTGTCAGTAACTGTCACTTCCTCATCTAACTTTTGATGATGATATTTAATTTGAGTCTGCCATTCCAACCACTTTATAATAGAAATAGAGCCTTCAAATAACAGCAAACATGAAGCTAAAGAAGATTTAATTCTGTGATTACAATGAATGTCAAATAGCTGACTTGTAGGCAGTGTAAGTCAATAGAATGGGTTTGATTCCTTCAATAACTGAGTACTAAGACAAACATTCCCAAATGGATCAATAAAAAGTCCTTAGAAGGCAGAGAAAATGGGGACAACTGAGAGTCCATCTGAGTATTTTAGAAAAAGTAAACTAACTTCACAAGTCTAGTGTATGAGCCACTTATGCAGATCTGCTCGAAGCCCGAGCTAGAGAATACCTTGAGGCTAATTCAAACATTAAGCACGGTCATGGAGGACATGTTCTGAGAACTAGCAGGGAATGCTGTAAATTGGCAGATAGTGAAAATGAAGTAAGTTAATTATAAAACTTTTCTGTAAGATTAAAAAGTACCTAAGGGCTAGAAAGATGGCTCAGCTGTAAAAGGCTAGGCTCACAACCAAAATATAAAATATACTTAGGGCAAGTTCTGAAAACAAAGTAAACATAGTTGTCCCTCATCTCATATGAAATCAAAACGTTCTCCAGAAGAAAGTTCTTACATCTGCTTCTTTAACTGCAGCTTAGGTATATTCCAAGTTATGTATGTCTCTAAAGCATGATGCAGTTAATACTGTACATACCTCTGATACTAAAACCTTGACAAATATATTACAAGAATTCCAAACAGCAAAATAATCCTACCTTAAAAAAACAACTATAGAACATATGAAGTAAAACAAGGCAAGGATTTCAGCATATCATAATTCTAGTATTTTCAAATTAATCTCAAATAACTCTTTGAAAGTGATGTTAACACCAGTCTCATTTAAGGCAGCATTGCGAGTCACTAAAACACTATTATTTTTCAACCTATTTTCAAGCATATAGATGTAGTGGGATATTTACTTTGTCTCCTTCTGTGGCACTGACCACACTCATTGGGAGGTGGAGCCGGGGGGGAAGTGACCTGTAGAACTAGGTCTGAGGAGCCGCAGTGGATTGCTCTCTTGCAGGTAGAACATGGAGAGGAGAGCATCCAGTGGAACTTGCTGGTGTACATCTGTCTAGGTTGTAAGTTATTTCTCCCTGAATAAACACCTATTCGGCCTATTTGTTTATCCTGATCCTTATTAAACTGCAATACATAGGCAAAAATTAAAATTAAAATTATCTATATTCAACTGGCTTATGGTAAATGACTACAGGATTGATTCTGAGATCCAAGCAGCTTTATTTAAAATGTTTTGACATGTAACAAAAAATTAGAATTATAATTTTCTAAAAATACCAGTCTGTTCCATGAGAGATGGCAAGAACATTGATAACTTAGGAATAAGTCGCGAACATTTTGTGGGCCGTCATTTCCTACATTAATTAAGTTATGAGTGCCCCCATCTCTTCACATAAAGTATATTTATTCATTACAATTGGAATTTTCATGGAAATTTTATAATCTAAAGACTATTGTAATCATATTGGAGGCATCTGTTGCTTGGTGTGATCTCACTGTAAACTCTTTAGCAATGTAAATAATTATACTCCAAATTACACTCTGAATAAATATAAGTCACTGAAAAAAAATCTGTATTATATCAAGCTAAGCTGCTTACAGAAGGCTTTATCTGGGTACAGATAAATGAGGAATTGTTTAAAATTTTTTTCACATAATTTTAATTTAATGTGATAGGTGTAAAAGAAATTTTTTCCATGTGTAAACTGACAATTTAGAAATATTCCAATACTCAGGACAACATACTAGTCAAAGGGAAATTATACTATGTGGCTTATATCATGCAGAATTGTCGGAAATGAGTAAGACTGGTTGAAGAACACTCTATCATGCAAGATGTTGATAAGGAGAGGACTTGTCCTTGTTTGTCATTAACCTAGCATCTCTGACAAGCACTTGGGTTCACTAAAAGTAATCTTATTTCTGGAACAATGGGGGAAAAATCTACATATGCTTTAAACTGAACTTCTTATTCATCCTTAATGCTCAACAGGCAAGAGGATTTCTCTAGAAATCACAGGCTACTCCTTAATTTTTTAGGCAGACCACAAATATTCCTGAGATAAAGCTACTTGAATTCTAAGACCACTTAAGAAGCTCTGTGCAATATATTACCTTCTTTCTACCAGGTGAATGTAGGATGCATTAATATACTGGACGGAGAAAACTCCCCTCCTAGACAATGTCACCAATTCTGACATGAGAAGGACAACAGGAGTTGGGGTCGAAAACATCAAGAGAGACCTTAATCTTCACACATTTTAAGCTGAAACTTACTATTTCATCCCCTACTCTCAGCAGCTAGAAGGAATTCTCTAGACACCACAGGGTAGTCCTTAAATTGTATGCAAATTGCAAGTACTCCTGAGATAAAGTTACTTCAATTCTCAAAGCAATCTAAAGATATATTAAAACAGAAGCATACATTCATGGTATTATAAAAGGTCCAACAGACCTTGAATATGGCTTCCAGTTTTTGTTTTGTATGTATATTTGTTAGATTTCTACATGGTTACTGCAATAGTTACTTTTCTGTTTCTGTGATAAAACACCATGAACAAGGCAACTTACAGAAGAAAATTTATTTGGACTTATGGTTCCAGAAGGTTAGAGACAATAATGGCAGAACAAAGTCATGGTGAGAGCAACAGGAAAAAAAAAAAAAAAAAGGCTCAAGCTGGGCATCGGTGGTGTACAACTTTAATCCCAGCACATGGGAGACAGAGGCAGGTGGATCTCTGTGAGTTCAAGTCCAGCCTGGTCTACAGAGCTAGTTCCAGGACAGACTCCAAAGCATTACATAGAAACCCTGTCTCGTAAAATAGCAACAACAACAAAACATGAAGTTTGAATATAAATATAAAATTTTCCAATGCCATATCTGATATCAAAGGGATTAGATGTTCTGTTCCCCAATTCTGTTGCCTGTAACATATATCTCCCGCTCTTGGGCTAGTTCCAGGTCTCATGCACAGCTTTCCTTTGCATGTGTCTAAAGGCTCTGGCATATTCAACATCTTAGCATCTCTACTACAACCCAGGGTTCATTTAAACACTTTCATACAATGAACTTTCAGGACTCCTTCCTCTCACAGAACTCCAAGGCATGAACTCCTGGCCACATGTTGCCTGGCCTCAGCAGTCCTGTGGAACCACAGAGGAAGGATCTACAACCTCCTTATCTTTCATGGCTCTGAAGCCATCATCACACGAACAAAACTGAGAAGCATGGCTGTCAGCTTGGGATCTACCGCGGCCCCCTTGATCCACATCTTCAGCACCTTTTGATTGACGTTGCTTTCCAGGAGCCTGAGAAAACTCCTTATACTTTCTTTGTGAGATGGAAGCTTAGCTGGATGAGGTCTTGTAATGAGAATACCTTCCCTTTATTGGATTGCAGATCTGATCTATCTTTAATGGCTCTAAACTCCTTAACAATTACAGTCTCTCTGATAGTTCAAGCCTTGGCTATAATATTATCAGTATTCTTTTAATTTCTGTATATCTTATATTTCTGTCTGAGCCATTTTTATTATAAACATACTTAAGAGTGATTACTAATTAAAAAAAAAAAAGACTGGCTATCTTGAAATTTCCTCTACCCCCTAAAAATGAGTTCATTACTTTTAAATGTATTCTTAGGCAAGCTCATAGGCCATGGGCAGAAAGTAGCCAATTTTTTGCCCAAATATCAAAAGAATAGTCTATAGTACAGTTACTAATATTGTTGTACTTTAAAACCCCTTTATCTGGCTCTCAATAGTCCACTTATCTCTCAGCATTGCTGTCTTCCAAGATCCTATTAGATTGGCCCCATCAAGCCCTATTTATAGCTTTCAACCACTTTTCTAGTGCAAAGTTCCAAAGCCTTCCACACTCCTCCAGAAAACATCATGGTCAGGTTCTTCAAAGTAATAACCCACTCACTGTCTGCAACCAATTTCTGTATTAGTTATTTTTCTATTGACGTGATCATACACCATAACCAAGGAAACGTATAAAGGAGTTTATTTAGGATTGTCGTTCCTGATGATTAGAGTCCATGATGACTTTTCAAAGGTATGGAAGGAGGAACAAAAAGTGGAGGGTTCACATCTGGAACCACAGGCACAAAGCAGAAGGAACAAACGTGAAATGGTTCAGGTCTTTAAATGCTCTAAGTCCACCTCCAGAGACATACCATCTCTAATAAGGCCATACTTCCTACACCTCCCTAAACAGCACCACCAACTGGAGCCATACACTTTTAATGCCGAAGGGTATGAGTGATTCAAACCAACACAAACAAATATTATTAACATTTTACTTTTCTTTGTAGAAAGATGTTTATGTAAGTTCAAAGGCCAACATGTTAATATGAATTTTCTGTATCTTTTTTTTTCCTTTAACCTTGGAGCTCATTTCCTTTTAGTATAGTTAGAGTTTCAGTCCTATGGGTATATAATAGTCAAACCTATAAACTACAGCAGACTTAATCTCTCTCCAAATTAGATAGTAAAACTACAAGCAATCTCTTAACTCAAAAGAATAATGCAATAAACTCCCGTACATTTGATCTGCCGCCCATATGAAAGAATTTCTGTAGACAAACCCAGAGTAGAACCTGAATAACAGGTTTAAGAAATGGAGAATAACATATATTATTACTTTCTTCCATCCCCTCACTTTCCACTGAGAAAAGAATGATTTTTATTAGTGTTAATAAACTAAAATAAATAACCAAAATAACTAGAATTTCTCTTTTCTCTAGGGAAAAACTTTTATTATTTTTTTCACAAGTTATTCAGCAAAACATAGTATGTGCTCAGATCATGTTTGAAGGTCTTACCTCACAGTGCTCTCGATAAAGACTTTGCAGTGACTTGATATCCTCAAAGGTAGTACCATCAGGTAGAGAAGAGATTTCAACTTCTCCAAACTCTGGAAGTGCTCGAGATGCATCTGTTACCATGACAACACAACAGAAAAAAAAGCTATTGTTGAAGGTGTCAATTACATATTAATGAGGGAAAATTTCAAAAACTAAAAAGGAAAGAAAATTTAGAAATCAGGAAGCCAAAGATCACTGACTTTCAAATTAATATTTTCCAGCCAGGTTTAGTAATATATCAGCATGTAACATACGAATGAATGGAGTATACTTGTGAATTTCATATAAACTAAGCTTTATTCTAATTGAACTGGGCATTGGATAGGCTCTTAGTAAGAGAAAAACAACCTGAGCTTGCCAGTAGCAATTTTAGTTATTTTCAGTATTATGGTATCCAGCCATATAAAAATAAACATAACCTTAAACTCATTATGTTCATATCTTTTACACTGTCATAAAATGAAGGTTATAAAACTACAAGCCAAAAAGCTAAAAATTAAGGTCTAGTTAACAACATTAATTTGATGTGATGAATGATGCTATCCTATAATCAAATCATGTCCCACAAATAAACATGGTGTCAACTGCTGTAGACAAGTCCTCTGAGTATAACACACCAATCTGCTCTTTCTGGTGGCTACCTGCCCCAATATAATTCTGTATTCAAATGACTATGACACATGATGTTGCATAGAAACATCATTTATCCCTCTCTTGACAACACTATAATTCACACATCATACACACTCTCTCGCCTTTTCTCTTTCTCTCTTTTTCTCATTAGCCTTGAACAATTAATGATGTACTTTCATGAATTCCTCACCATAAAGTCAAAATTAAATAATAATCTTCATTTCTAAGTTCTAGGAAACCAAAATATTTTGAAAATTTTTGAGATGGGGCTCTTCATGTAACCCCATTTTTTAAATTTTTTGAATATTAAAACTCAAATATAGCTATAAAATAAAAAAGTGATATTGTTTTAAAGCTCAATGGTCCACAAGACTTTGGTTTAGGAAATGCTGCCATTAAAGGATCAAGCTCAGGAGACTTCTAACCTCAAAGTCTATTCCAGGTGTCTCTATTGGCAAGCACACACAAACACACACACACACACACACGTAAACACATGCAGACATACATGCACACACATATGCACACACACACAGACATACATGCACGCAGGTACATAAATACACACACACCCCAATAACATCACTTGTACTGCTCCACTGTTTGAAGACAATGCACACTCATCTATAGGATAGCTGTCAACTGAACTACCACTTTTGCTCCTCTGCTTCCTGCATAAACATACAAACCTTTAAGTTCTACTTGCAAACACTTTCATTAACAAGAAATATGTATATTTTCTATACAATTATAAAAATAAGAAGCACTGTAATCAATATAAAAGAATACATTATTTAAAATGTTGATAATTTTTTTTAATCTAAGACTATGTAACTTTGTATACAGGAACTGAGAATTCTTTTGGACTGGACATTATTTCTGAAGTAACCACATTATGATTTTGATCACAAAAACCAACTGTAATATCAACTCTTGAAAACACTTTCATAGCCTTCAAGATTCCATATAGCTTAACATTCAATAAAGATGAGCTAGAACTATCATTTAATGTTATAGATTCAGCACCAAATCACCTCCCCTTTTATAAGGAGTTAACATCTGAAGACATTCTACTTGGAGAAGAGACTACTATTGTACTTTTCAAAATCCTAATAGCAACTACTATGCACTATGATTACACCTTAACATACCTAAAAACTGTTGATGATGTTGACTTTGGGCAATTACAGTTTGCTCAACAGATGTGCCTGTCTGTTGGCCACTTCCTGTGAAACCATCTGCAACCCCATCCACTTTCTGCATAGGCTTGTACCTAAAAATATTAGATGGGAAAAAACAAACAAACCAAATTATTCCTTGCTTTAAATGTACTACCCAAACTTTTAAGGCATTTGATTTTAATCTAGTTCTATCAATGTCTCAAGATAGTTGTCGGATGTTTCTTCTTGATACTTTCATGAAGTCACAGGCATTTTTTCAATTGTGAAAATAAGAAGGGGAAGAGCAATCAGAAACAAATTCATTTGTGAAAATCCATAAATTGACGCAGAATGAAAGAATTATGAGGCATTTCTTTGGACAATAGAGGCAAAGATGCTCATGCCTATGGTCATAGCACATACTGTGAAAGTAACTTATAGTGGCCATTGGTTTAAGATAAAAATTGTAAATATGCTGAAACTTCACTTTGAACCAAGATCAAAGAGTTTTCAAAGAAATGAAGGACTTTCAGTTAGTATACTTAAAATATGATCAATTTACAAATCTTATCATACTGCTCTTCATGTATCTTAAAGCCTCCTATGCATCTCAACACATTCATCTCCTTTGATTCTTATCAAAAGTCACAAATACAAATGCCGGAAGCTTCAGTCTGCAACAAAATATGAACTCGTCTATAAACCTAGTTTTTCTAATTAGAGATAAGAGGATTTGGTGGGATTTAACTCAGTGTTAGGGCACATGACTGTCAAATACAAGGCTGTGGGTCCCTCCCAAGAACAGAAAAAAAAAAAAGTATACACACAAAAAGTAATCAAAGTCAGAGAACAATATGCTTTTAGGCCCTAGTTCTAAACTTTATGTACAGTCTTTGCTACTAAAATAGAGGAAATGTGCTATGGAGGTAAAAAACAAGACTTCTTGGAGGACAAGCATCACAAACATTATCACCTTACCCTCAGCACAGCTGTCACCACACTACCACACCACCCTTGCCACCAACAGCAACACTATATCCTCATTACCACAAACATTGGCAACGCCACTACCACCACACCAATCACATCACTAACATCCCTGCAAGTACCAAAGATCAGCACATCACCATCACGACAAGCATAACCATTGCTATACCACTGCCCAATCCTTACCACCAGCAACCCCAGAAGCACCACCATCACCAACACCAGCACTACCACATCACCACAGACCTCATCACAGCACCACCACCAAAACCTTGGCAAATCTCCCCAGACAAGCAAGTGCAAACTACTGTGTAGCAAGCATTTTTCTTTTGTTTAAAACATACTTTTCCTCAGTTTAGGTATTTAAAAAAAATACAAATCTAAAGATCATGAAGTTAACTTTCTAGGAATATCTTCACTCACATTACAGTGTTTGTCTTTCAGCCCCCTCCCCCATTTCTGATTGTATGTAAAAACAAAACAAAACAAAAAACAGCACTTTCACCACCCTGATAATGTGGTCATTATAGTCTCTAAGACATGAAAAGGACACACTTAAAGATGTCTCTATTCTGTCAAAAGATAGTAAATGATTGGATCTAGTGAAGACCATATAAGCAATGCTGCGATTCAGTCATTGAAAAAGAAAGTCAGTGGACAGAGGATGAAGCAGGACACCATAAACACCACCCTTGTTATAGTTTTACTGATAGCCTCCTCAAGCACAAAATAATGGTTGTTGTTTTCTAATGATAGAAAGGAACTCAAACCTGGTCTTCCTTTTAATGGCAAAACTTTCTGCCCCAAAAGTGTCACTTCTGATGCTTTTCCTCCCTGCAGATCATATTAGAGAAATTTAGAAACTTTCCCTGGCAGGTGTGTAGTGTACCTATATAGGGCAGTACTGGGCTTGCCCTTTTATACTAGAAGACTTGAATGATTTCTTGCTTCTTTGATTAGGAAAGGTTTGTTTGTTTCCTCATTGATTTATACAGGGTTTAATTTGCTTTCAGCTGAACCTTTTTAGAAACAGAAATTCATATGAAAAATAAAATATTGTATTTGTTTCCTCATGGTTAAGTACATTATCTTAGATTAAAATAGTAAAATTGAATGATTTAATCTGCCAATATTTCCTGTACATTCAAAGTTATTAATACTGGATTATGCAATGACTGTGATTTTGTCTAACTATTCTTAATCCCTTTTTGTTCTACGTAGCATTCATTCCTATAAACATGAATATGAAGGACAAGTGAAATTTAATCTGAGAGGAAATAAGAGCTACTACTTGTATACATTTTCCTAGGATACATGCTACATCACAGTACCTTCCTTCACAAAGTGTTAGAAAACCTCCCACCTAAAAGCAAAATTATTTGCCTCCTTAGGAAAAAAAAAAAGTTGGGCAGTATCATAAGCAGTGGAGGTCACTAAAAGGGATATTACATCCTAAAATATGCAGTCAAACCACAATGATTTACAACTAACACTTGACTGTGTACTAATAATGCTATTGAGTTGAAAACATTAATTACAAGTATACAGTATTATGTAGGAGATATAAAATGTATGAAAACAGCTGACAGGAGGAAAGGGTTTTTATATACATATATATAGTAAAATAGTTTGAGTCAGTACTTAGAAGGAAAAAAAAAGAAGGAAATACAGTTAGAACTGAGAAATGAGTGGTCTCATTATAACCATAACAGTAACAATAACAGAATAAACAGTGAGTTGAAAAACAGACAAAGATGCCCTTCATATATTTCTCTTTCATAGTAATATAAACTGGATAAGCCAGAAATCTTATGCCTCAGGCTGAAAGGTCTGTGGACAAATTCTGGGAGTGGTTTGTGCCATGAAGCATGACACCAGTAATGGATAGAAGATGGCTCATGGCCAAGAGTGCTAGTGTGAGCACAGATGTGTGAAAGAGCTTCTCTGTAATACTAAGTTTTGCTCACTTTGTTGTGTCTAAAGCAACCTGGATCAGTGTTTAGAAGAAATCATCAAAGTCAGAAATTATGAATTCAGGAAGACCACATATTCATCAATTACCTCAGCTGCCTGGGTCAGATTCAACAGAGGCTAGACAAATACTCGTGATTGCTGATTCTTCCTAAAAGAGATAGCTTAGGATAAAATGTTATTGGCCATTCAGAAGATTTATCACCAATGTCTAGGAAGTTCCCACAGAAACCTAGTCTTCCTCAACATCTACTCAACAGTTTTTGAGAATAGGGCTTGGAGCTGGTTTTACTCCTAAGAGATTTCCTAAAGTAGCTTGCACAGACTTAGTCCACAGGGACCTCTCATCTCAAAATAGACACCTTTATTCCCATGTTGTAGAAAAATATCCAACTTCAGACAACACGCTTTGCCCCCCCCATCCATAAATGTTCATTTTTCCTATAATATACACTAATTTTAAAAGAATGGCTAAGATCACACTATAAATTGATCCTAACAATATTAGATCAATTTATCAAGCATTAATTGGGTACTACATGTGATATTGCCCTATGCAAGCTCTGTTTTAGCCAGGTCGAAAATAAATATAACATTTTTAAGTTTTTGAATATTTTATTGATCTAATGTAATAATTCTACATTATCTTAATTCTGGTGAAATTTCAACTATCCTTTTATGATTAAAAGGTGAATTTTGGATCTTTTGCTTCTCTTCTTTTTGTTAAATAACCATAAAAAATACCACATTATAAAGGGTAGGTAATTGATTGAAAACATACCACTAACAAACCTGTACATTGAATCCTGTTGAATTAATGAGCTCTTCAGTATTTAGAACTATACACTCATGTAATTCCATTTACTTTGCAAATTACTTCTAGGTTAAGTTTTTTCATCGTAGATTCAGGGCAGTTGAGTTATGCATGTTCATAGGAGAGGCCAACATTTTATTAAAGGAGGCAACAGCTCGTGGTTTCAAAATTAGTAAGGAGAAAATGATCATTTTAACAGCTTGCAACTCCATGGGCAATCAGAGCTAACACTGGTAATGATTAAGAAATGAAAGACGCTCTGATGTCTTAATAGCCGAGTATGTGCTTGAAACCTGTCACTAAACCAGAAAACTTGGAAAATTGTTAGGAATCTGCCCCCATGAGGTTAGCTGTAGCTGTTATTTAGGGCTTGGACAGCTGTGCTCTGATGTAGAAGTAATATTCTGTCAATAATCTCCCAAGCACAGACACTGAAGCAGTCCAGGAGAAGGTGGAGAGCGCTGCATAGTCAATACTGGAAAGAGTTTTCAACATTTGGAAAAGTCCTCTCAAAGCTGCTGAAAAATGCTCATGCAAAAGGCAATATAAGATTTATATAGGCAGTTATTATTTGTGTTTATAATTCCTGAAAGTATGAAAGTAATTTGCATGAACAAATAAAAAATTGCCCAGCTAGCAATAATAGCAAGGGGTTAGAATGTCCTACTGGTCTCTTGTAATCCTCTTTGGAAAAATTGCCCTAGGGTTTTTATATAGGTTTTGGAAATGAGCCAGGTGGCATAAACATGAACGAATCAGAAGGAATAGTGACTGTGAAGAGATACCTTCTTTCAGAAGAGTAACATAACACCAATCCTGTTGACTAACGACAGGATTTCATTTCCATTCTTCTTGGTAACTAAGGATACTTGGATATCCACTAGTATTACATTTTCAATAATGCAAGAAATTTAGTTCCTATGTAGTAGTTGTCTCATGAGAGTGAATGTGGTAGATTATTCATTTTTTAAAATGAATATGGTGTTGAGGAAGAAATGTTGAAAGAGGCAAGCCTAATTTTCTGAATTTTCCAATGAGTCCTCTTAGCAAAAGGAACTTAGCTATTTGTATAAACATATAGTATCAATGTGTGTGTGCATGTGTGTGCATGAGTACATACATGTGAGTGCATGTAGCCTTTCTTTCATTTACAGCTAGCCCTTTCTGTTACACAGACCTTAAAAATATACCTCCCACGTCTTCTTTATTTAGAGAATGACAGCCCTGTTCCACCCGATGTCAACAAAACCTAAAAGCACCTGAGGCTCTGTCTAGGGAAAAAAGAATTAGGGAGATTCTTGTATAAAGCACAATTAATGGGGCTAATTTCTTTTAACTAAA